TATGCAGAATGGATTAAAGTAAGCCTTAATTGAAATAACGATACTTTCATTCGGTGGTCATTTAGCTTTTTCATTTTTTTCACTGTCATTATTCCAGGTTCCTTGATATGATGTTCATTTTATATAAAGAAAACAATGGATTTAGGGTTATAGTTCATTCTTCCAGTTGTAATTTACTGGTGAACTAGGCAGTGGTATTGGGATTGAGGACCCAGTTGAAGGATCCATTTTCTTATTCCGATACTGATCATTTAAAATAGCTTGCAGCTTCAAAAGGAAAGATAAAACATTTCATCACTGCGCAAATGTAGCTTTCATAATTGCACAAATTTTATTCATCACTGAACTAATTGTCTGCATGTTAAATTTCTCCCTGTTTGATTGAACAAAAGACTTTGTGGATTTAAGATACCCACTACCCGGCTAGATCAAGTGGATTGGAGAGAAAACATGAATCGCTTGAGGACTTGCTCTACATTGATCTCCTCGCAATGTGATCTTTTTCTGCTTAATGTTGATGTCAATAAAATGAAACAAATTATAAGTGCTCAAATCACACTTTTTATTCGAAGCAAAGATCAATCATACAAGTAGTAATAAAATATATTTTAAAAAGTAGCTAAAAAAGAAGTATGTGGTGAATGAGTTTGTATAGGCAAGTAATAATAGATGTTATATTATTTGTAAAATCGTTAAATTTGTAAAAAAGTATAGTTCAAAGAGAAGTGAAAGACAACAAGAGAAAATAATAATGTAAAGTTAAACTACAAGCTAATAAGGATGATTAGATTGATTAAGAAAATATATGCAACTGAGAATAAAATTTTGGATAAAAAAATACAAGTCTTACTATAAAAGATGGAGAAGATAAAAGACCATCATGTTAATATTTAAGAAAATAAATTGAAGAAGCAAACTAAAGAAAGAACTGATGAATTTCTGAATGAATGGAATTTAGATAGATGAACGATGAATGATAAGAAAATATGTTATTGTTTCAAGTTTCTAATTAACAGCATGTGATATTTTTGATGAAAGAAAAAAATACGATTTCAAATGAATGAACTTAGGACGCACTATGTAGAGAATGAATGGATTATTGAATGAATTTTTTTCTTCTTAGGAATTAAGATAAATTATCTATCCTTTTAGCAGTTTTGCTTATAAATGAATGGTCCTAGGAGATAATGAACGAAAGGAAGAGCAAAGAGTTTTATGGAAAAGTTAATGAGCAAATGAATTCTCAAATCTTTCAATGAAGAAAAATTATGCAAGAAATAATTCATGAATAATTAAAATGATTATCAATGAACCAAGAAAAATTTGGTTATTTCTCAGTGATACTTTGGGGATATTTTCAATGTACCACTTAAAAATTACGAAAAGGTTTCCTAAGTTTAACATGTCGAGCAACTAAGATACCGAAAAAGAGACTCAGTTCCATTGGACCCATTATCACAATCTGGTCAACTATTCAATCAACACAGATATGTTTGACCATAGACTTGTGTTGCCTACCATGTGAAAACTTGTCTATAGCACAAGATAAAATTATCACATAAGATTACCTTATAAGACATATGGGCCAAAAGAGTAAGAGATATCTCGTCGAGTCACAATCTGCTCCATAAAAACTGTCAAAATCTGCAGAGCCACTTCCATTAGAATTGTAGATATGTATATTGACATAGATAGTTTCTTTACTTAGCTTCAAGTCTTTTTAAAAGTAAGAATATGATAAAGGCTTTTGGAAGGGGGCTCATAAGATGTTTTTGCTTCATTAGACATTTGCAAAACAAACTGTTTGTTTGTCTGAATCATAACAATGCGAATGATGGCTGCCATTTGATTTGTTGCAGCTGTGTGTCCGAAATGCAGGTGCATTTGACAAATGGGAATTGAAAAAATTGTTGCATCCTCAATTGAATGGCTTAAGGTAAACCGAGCTTGAAATATATTAAGCTCCTTCTCAACAAAGGTGCAAAGAATACGAGTAACCGTTGGTGTATTTCGTCTACTCAAAATCAACGAGAAAATATCTTATGATTGTAGGCAGTGTTTTTTGGTTAATTGATTTAGTGCAAATCTAAACGAAGGACATCTATCACTAACATTTTTTACTTCTGATTTCTTAACCTGGTGACATTCTAAAGTTTCAGATAAGCAAGAAATTGATTTCGATGTAAATTCTATGGTAAAATCTAATCCAACTATAGAAAAATCTTCAGGTTATTTAATTAAACAATCACCTCATAAAAGGCTGTCGCAGAAAACATCTGCCCTGTATACGACCCTATTTGAAATAACTTTATCAAAATCTATGACTTGTCTTTAATGTTTTTAATATTTAATGTTATCAAACAATTCTTGCAACACATTGTATTGTCTTCAATATCTTTCTTTATTCTATACGCCCTGTAATCCGGTTTCTACTTTTCTTCCGGTCATTTTCGCACCTACAGGGAATCAGGTTAATTCGCTGACTTCATATAAGCCTTAGCGTAGTGAGAACCGGCCACTGTCGCGAGAACCACTCTTGAAAACACAGCAACGAGCAGAGCGCAGTAAACCCATAGAAGGAAGATCTGAGAACAAAATTAAAGAAGATAAGGTTCGTAGCATCTATTGGAATTTCATCTCTATGATTCTTAATATTCATCTTTGACAGAATTTCTTAAACCTAATTTTTTAATTTTGATTTTTAATCAAATTGCGTGGATGTTGCTCTCCAGATCGGTATCAGTTAAATCCTGCTGACATCATGATTTTTGAAGTCAGGCTTAGATGATGGCATTAGTGGAACATGAAACTTTCAAAGGAGATTTTTTAAATCAATAAATCTTGAAGAAGATGCGTATAGTTAAGCTTCTTTGGATTGACTTTCTTCAAGTCCATTCGTCATAGACAGGAGCCAGCATGCCAAAAACTCTAGAAAGGTTAAACGATTCTTGCTTTACATGAAATTTAGTGTACGTAAATACAATATATGATAAAAGTGGCATAATACAAGGTAAAAACAAGCTAAGCTAAAAAACATAGAACACGACTGAAGACATCGCGGAAGACTCTTTTTGCGCAGAGCATCAATCATTTGCAAAAGCCTGATGGTACATCTTAACTTTGTTTGTTGCATCCTTTATCTCAAACATTATCAACAGTGCAGTTTTATGTCAAACTTCAAGACTTTCTCGCTTAACCCTATATTTGTTATTCTACGAATGAACGCCGATCTTACTTTTCCTAATATCCGTGTTTAGGCATCAAAATAGGTTGTAGACCGTCGGCACACCTTGTAAGATTGTGTCTCTGTATAGGAATGTTCTTGTAAGATTCCATTTGACAGTTGAACACTTCTTGTGAACATTTTTGCTATCTTTTGGCAACAAAGTATAATCTTTTACGACAATCCAGCACTGATAAAAACTGCTAAAACAACAATTCATTTCTATCATTTGCTAATCAAAGCCAGTTTTTTTTGTCATAACTAAAAAGGAGATTGAGAAGTTTGTAGAAAGACAAGGTTTTTAACTATGAACAGTAAAATGTATGGGTAACACGAAGAGAGCAAACTCTATGGGTGCGTCATACCAGCAGATAATACGGGACAAAGAGCCAAAGAATACGTAGTTGGGTTTTTCTCTCATTTCTGATGTTTCACCTTTACAAAGTCTTCTTTTGCCTAACGGCAATTCGGAAAAATAGTTCACTGACAACGCCAGACAATCTAAGGCTTTGAAAAAGCAATGAAAGCTTATGTTTTATTCTCAACTAACAAACTATCTCACACACCAACAGTCGTATTTAGAATGCTTTTGGTAAGTTGAATGCAAAGTAGCAGCCAATTGTGTTATAGAAAACTTTACGAATGGAAAAAAATGAAATGTGTCATGTTTGAACCACAAAAGTTCTACTTCTTAAATTCCAAATGTTCGGCTCCGTCACAGTAAAGTGCAATAACATCTATCAAGAATGCATAAAATAGAATTTCAGTAATCTTGCTATTATTCTTTTCGTCGCTGTTCTTCTTTCCTCCTAAACTAATAGAAGGTAATTCAATGCTTTCACAATAAACTCTTTTTGTAGTTGGAACTGAAATCTCGTAAGGAAATCAATAATAAGGCGACATGCCTGTTGTTGATTCCATGTGAAATTGCAGTACCAGCGATTAACAGAGTCAAATCAACTCTCTTAACTATGACGTCATTACTGTAAGCGCGTTGAAGAGAACAAGCAGGTATGCAGAAGAAAACCAAAAAACATTTTCATAACTTATAAGCTGCGTACGAAATAAGATCGCGCCGCGATTGTATTTGGGTTAAGGATAATGAATTTTGATAATAAACATAGAGTTTAAACAGACAAGCAAGATTAACGACACAGTCAGTAAAGGTTCTAGCAGAAAATTTCATTTTGGCCAGTACTGAATTAAGTCAAAGATATGAGCTTGTCCGTATGCTCACGACAATCAAATATTTCACATTGTATATTTGTAAGGGCTAGATTTCATCACTACTTTGTCACAAAGTTGGTCTCAGCATTAGAGCTTCTTTTCTAAACAACGGTCTAGATCTTTGGTAAAAATGAATTAGGTACAATATATCTCGCATTTATGTTAGGAAATGTGTGACTGCTATGATAAAGTAAAATGAATTAAAACATTTTCCTCAGCTGCCGAGCTAATCAAATTTTTTTTAACTTTCGAAAAATATTTCAACCTTTTATCAGCGTGAAATAGTTATGCCTTATTTCTCCGTTTATTTCTTTTTCTTGAAGGAAAAACGCCAAATATCTTTAATCTATCTGTGAAACAACCATTGGCTTTCAGAAATATTTTTATCTGTGAGAACGGAGGCTAACCAAGGTCAAATTGGATCTTTTGGCAGCGCAGAACTCTCAGTGGTTACAACCCACGGCTGTGCGTATTCTTATAATTCCTCTGCTACAAAGCTACAGCCATCAACGCAGTTTTTTTGTATTTCAGAGCAGCTCTTGGTTTCGCCACTTCAACTGTAGAGGATTTGCTGAGATTTCACCAGTCCTTTATTAATTATTTATAGGCTTTAGATAATTAGAAACTTCATTCGTAGACGTCTGTCCCTGTATACCATTCGAAACACGACTTAAAGAACAGCGGTCGATTTGTTTTTTGCTCCGTTTGTTGGTAAGAAATTTTGTCTATTTCATACAGAAGAAATATTTTTTGACATCTTTATACTATTATCAAGGAATAACAACAGTCTAGGGCATCTCTAGCTTACAACAATGTTGCGTCTTTGATAATTTTGGTTTATAAAAGTATTTAGGTCGCAGTAAAATTCTCAACATCATCAAATTATCAATCACAGCGATAAAAAAATAAAGATTGATGATAGATGTAAAAAACTTTGCTAAGACATTTCATTTGGAAATATGTTGACAGCGATGGAAATGTTTTGAACACAGATAAGGACATTTTTGTATGTTTTTGTTTCTGGGTGCACAGAACCATTTTTTCTTTTCCATTTATAGTAGCGCAATACGACCGCGTCAAATGATTGCTTGAAACAAATTTAAACGTAAGAATGATTTCTGTGACGTAGTTGGAGAGTCAGTTTTTTGTTGTTTACACAGCAGAATTGAGTGGAAATTTATAGAAAACAATCGTTACTACAGAGTATGTTGTCGCTTTTGAGAATGATTTTGCCTTCCACAATGAAAAAACGGGACATTGTCGTCATCACGGTAGGAAAATGATAGGCCATTATCGCATGAAACTGATTAACGCATCGGACTGTTAAATTTCGATCGAATAATGGAAATAAAAACTTATCTAAAAAGATTTAAAATTTCTCCTTGAGTTTTTTAAGGAAAGAATCTGAGGTAGATTTCCTTTTTCATTTATAGTTTAGATTTAGCTCAATTATTCAAAAATACATACAGTTTAGATTTAGCTTTTTAATAAAAGTTTGTGAAGGACAGAGTATGAATTCTTATTTCGAATGTTCTGCGAAAAAACAAACTTGAAGAAGCAACTCCGAAGTCAACCGGCTCACTGGTTATCTATACATGCCTTCTTTTCTATTCCTGTTTGACTCAAGATTTTTTGCAAATTTAACTAACATCTAGCACTGATGCTAGTTGTACCGAAAATTGTCTACTTCCCCATGCGATATATATTGCCATAAATTTGCAGCAAGTCTATCTAGCATTTCATTTTCTCTCAAAAATAAGTTAGTTATTTTAAAATTATGTGCGCTGTATCCCATACTTTAACCGTGCTCATTTCTTCAAATAAGGATGTATTTTGTAGAAGTGACCATGGTTCTTATATTTTTTTAGCAGGTAACTGCGCAAGTTGCTACAAGAATATGGCAAAGATATTATCGACAGTGCTTTGTGCACTACTGATTTATCAAGTTCTTTGCGAGAAAATCGAGAAAAAAGAGACCAAGGACAATGAAAAAGTCGGGGACAAGGAACAACTTGATGATGCTAAAAGATCAATCAAACAATGGCTTCGAGGAAGATTTGGAAAGAGAGAGAATGAGCAATGGCTTCGTGGAAGATTTGGCAAAAGGGAAGATGAGCAATGGCTTCGTGGAAGATTTGGAAAGAGAGAAGACGAGCAGTGGCTTCGTGGAAGATTTGGAAGGGAAGACGAGCAATGGCTTCGTGGAAGATTTGGAAAGAGGGAAGATGAGCAATGGCTTCGTGGAAGATTTGGAAAAAGAGAAGACGAGCAATGGCTTCGTGGAAGATTCGGAAAGAGGGAAGACGAGCAATGGCTTCGCGGCAGATTTGGAAAGAGGGAAGACGAGCAATGGCTTCGTGGAAGATTTGGAAAGAGGGAAGGCGAGCAATGGCTTCGTGGAAGATTTGGAAAGAGGGAAGATGAGCAATGGCTTCGAGGGAGGTTCGGACGTGGGGCCGAGCAGTGGCTAAGAGGAAGATTTGGAAGAGAAGCAGGGCAATGGTTAAGGGGGAGGTTTGGACGTGAGGCAGAGCAATGGTTGAGAGGAAGATTTGGTAAGGAAGCGGAAGACGAAGATGATGGACTAGAGGACGAATTTGAGCAGTGGCTGAGAGGAAGATTTGGCAAAGAAGTCGATGAGCAGTGGCTCCGTGGCAGATTCGGTAGGGAAGCTCTTCAGTGGCTACGAGGGCGGTTCGGCAGAGAATTGGCAGAACAATGGCTCAGAGGCAGGTTTGGGAAAGAAGCTGAAGAGCAATGGTTACGTGGACGTTTCGGGAAAGAAACTGATGAAGCAGATCAATGGCTAAGAGGAAGATTTGGAAAAGAAGCTGAAGAGCAATGGCTCAGAGGAAGATTTGGAAAGGAAGCTGCCGAGCAATGGCTTAGAGGAAGATTTGGAAAGGAAGCTGAAGAGCAATGGCTCAGGGGAAGATTTGGAAAGGAAGCTGCCGAGCAATGGCTTAGAGGAAGATTTGGAAAGGAAGCTGAAGAGCAATGGCTAAGAGGAAGATTTGGAAAAGAAGCTGAAGAGCAATGGCTTAGAGGAAGATTTGGAAGAGATGCTCTGGAGCAATGGCTAAGAGGAAGATTTGGCAGAGATTCTGAGGAGCAGTGGCTTCGTGGCCGTTTTGGTAAGGAAGCTGAGCAATGGTTGAGAGGACGCTTTGGAAGAGAATTCGCTGATCAGTGGCTTCGCGGAAGATTCGGTAGAGGCAGTGACAGTTCTAATGATGAAAAAGATGCCAAAACAGATGTTGCAAAAGAAAGTGAAAGAAAAGGGGGTGAAAAAGATCTTGGAAGTGCTGATAAAAGCAAATAGTAGTATGTTTCATCTAATTAAGATATCGTATGGAAAAGAAGTAAACTGAACTTGTAATTATCTCCAACTGCATACTTTCAGTTTTTAGAGTTTATCAAAGCTGAACTTCAAGGAGTGATTGGTTTCCAAATTTCAATTATACTTTGCATTTTAATCAAAATTTCAAAGAAAGGATCAAACCACTTCTTGTTGATTCTTATTATATTCATAACTTCTAAGTTATATATGATGGAATCTTTTCGTAACTTCTGAGTTATATGATGGTTTTGTTATTTTTGCAGGGTTACTTGAATGAAATAGAGACATGGTTTTGATTCATAATTTGCTTTCGAAGTTTCAAAGACTGATATAAATTGACACGTTGCATTTGACTATAGATAATGTACATTGTATTTATAAAGAGGAAGCATTCTGGGCAAAGCTATTATTTTGATCCTTAAAATCCTATTTGTGTCTTCCGTATATAGTTAGAGCAGGAACTCATTTATATTTCAGCCATTTAAGAAAGGCTTCTCAATACAAACGATGTAAAAGTTTTGTTATGAAATTAAGCTTCATATTATTCGCGATTTCAAAAGCATGAAATTTGGACTAAATACTTGGCATTTGATTGTACAAGACTGGTGCAAAACCCCTCAAAATGTTGAAAATGTATGTGATGAAATCACTTCCTCGTTTGGCTATGAAAACGTAAACAACTAAAGTGAATTTAGACGCATTCATAGACCCTGCTTTGCTGAATTAACCCTGCCATATTTTCTGCTTTCATATGCTTAATTCCTTCCTTAAAATGTCCGTTGGCAAGCTGTTGCTATGGCAGTCACTAGAAACTACGCACTTCTAGACAAGCGTGGTTTTGCAATGCATTGTAACTAGAGTGATGACAACTGTGCGATGACAAATCACTCTGGCTCTTGATTATACGTATTTAAGGTAGTAGAATATTAGAACTGTATAATTTGTTCACTGCCTATTCAAATAGATTTGAAATGTATGAAAATAATTGATTTTAAATAGCTGCACGATAGCTGGGAGACAGGTTTTTCCCTTCAAAAAACGTACTTAAAAAACGATTTTGTATCTTAACTCTAAGATACTAGAGAACCGTGCACATTGTATTGAGATGAAGTTTCAATCGCAAATACACAGGTTGCTTGTAAAATTGATTTTTATTTCTCTTAATTATATGTGAATGAATGAGTAATGATCAAGGTCACTCAAAGAGCCTGAAACTTATATTTTTGTGTCTAAAGACTGCTTGGTTGTGATTGCTTTGCATACACAAAGTAGAAATCAAAGTTTAACGAGTTCTTCTGCATATTCGCGAGGAAAAAGTTTCATATTTTGGAAATGTTAATGGAAAGATGCTCTGTTTCAACAGATGGAATAACAGCACTTACGCGATGCTTAAAACTTATTACATTTGAATGGACTCGCAGAAGATTTTTAAGAACATAGATTTAATGCTGCAGAGACATTTTTTAAACAAACATCAAACAGCACTTCTGAAATATTCACAGACCTATACAAAGCTAAAAATCACATAACACCATTTTTTACTGAAATCTGATCAGATCTGAGCAGATAAAATCTAAATTAGAAAGGAAAATGTTTAGAAGTGTCGTAGAAAATTAAACGATAAAGCCTACTGTTTGACAAACTCTTGGATATTTCGGTCCACAATACACATTTTTGTTAAAACTGCAATTTTCTAGTGACAGCAAAGAAATAGCTTAAAATCAAGCTTAACCGATATATTATCAGGCAAAGCCATTTAGTATTATGTTTCAGCAGATGTCACTTTGGATAAATCAACGAAACATGATATGAGAAAAGTTATAAATAACTTAAAAGTACAGGCCCATATGAAATTTGAGATTCGCCATTCGCTTATACTCGAAATCTTTTGACTTTCGTTTTACTTTCATCTACTCACAGAATGAGGAAATCGCCTTGCTAAGTAGAAGTTTGATATAGTTTTTGGTCAATCCACCATTATCTAAATAAAGAAGCACCGAAGAAAAGCTCTGTCTTGCCTTATTTTATCTAGAACGCAATGATAAACAGTCGTGAAGTAACAAACATTTGTACTGAATTTGTTGCTACCTAGCTCCTCAAAGGTAGATCTAGGACATTAAGAAGCTATGCTTGTAAGCAGTGTCCTGGTCCTTCGTCTTGATGTGACCAAAACTCATGAATTTAATGCTTGGAATAACATAGAGCTGACTCTTTCCTCATTCTGATTCAAAGTTTGGTCATGTCAAGGAATTGAGAGCCCAGCCTTGGAAATGTAATCCATGACCCTAACCACTGAGTCATTCTTATTCAAACTATAAGGTTCAAATACGATTCATGCAGTGGAATCTCAAGTCTTCAATAAAAACGTCACAAGAGGTTATCTAATATCGATATCATGTTCAATAAAATGTAAATACTTGGATGCAATGGTTCAAGTAGCAATCTGTTGAAAAACCTTTAAAACATTTTGTGTGGTAAACTTTTGCCAAGTGAAAAATATGAACAATTTCTAGTCGCGTGATATATTTGTGAATATTTGTCAATTTTTTCTCTCATTTTTATATAATATGATAGATGAATTAATTTTGCAAAGAATGGAAAGGAAGAAAGAGAGTTCGAAAAAACTTGAAACCGGTTAGTCGTGCATCAGATTTTAATGAAAATTAAAAAAAAGACTTTTGTCTGATGAAAATTTAATATAAATTTTGCTGCAGTATGCGATCAAATTAGTGTCATTCTTAGCCAATTTTGAATAAAATTGAAATATGGATTGAATAGCATTTTGGAGCCGTTGAAGGTTGCATGCTTTCTTGCCTGTAAGCAAATCTTTTAATTCAATGTCGAGACGTCTCAGATAGACAACAGTCTGTGATCCTATAAGCAAAAGATGCTCGTATTCGATCAGTGCAAGAATCAACCTGCGAGCAGACATTGCAAATAGAAGAGTCTGCAAGCAAGCTATTGTACAATTAGCATTGCTTGTTACTGTTTTTAAGATGGAAATCAAACGACTTGAGCATACAACACCAGAGGTTTCAAGGTTTCTAGGTAGGGGTGATCAAAGGGTGGGGAGGCGGGGTTGGGGTAAAAATTCGCCATTCCGCCAAATTTTTTATAAAACATGTGTAGAGTCCTTTGAATCCGTAAAAGGTCGTTCATTTTGGAGAAAATTTGCGTCAGGCAAGTGTAAAGAATTCCGTCGTTCCGTCGATAAATTGCAAGATTTTCGTAATCCGTGACAAACTTTCTTCAAATTTCGTTGTTTCTTAAATCCTGATGACCCCCGTTATTAGATTTATATCTAGGTTAAACGTATATTGTTATCATTGTGTCAAATAGAATTCAACTTTAAAATCAAGTTTTTCGAGAAGATATTCTGAGAATGTGTAAGAAGGAAGAACCGCAGGATAGGCTGTCTGTCGGATTCTGTGAATCTTGCAATGAGCAATAATACGAAAGATATTCAGGAACAAAGCAATACGACGACGAGAATCCAATGTAATGAGATAAAATTTTCAGAATAAATTAAATTTAAGGAATTTGAAATGTGAGATGGTGATATTGGATTGGTGGATGTTGAATGGCGTGAATGCAGCGCAGTGGAGAAAATGCGGGATGGTGAAAGTGGGGGAGGGAAGGGTGGCTGGTGATGTGAGAGATTGTGGGTGGTGTTGTAGAGACTGATGTAATGGGATGATAATGATGACTATGAGTATGAATATAAAAAACAAAAATAATAATAATAATTGTGATGGAACTGAGAATAATGGAATGTTGATGATAGTAATGGTGGTGATGATGATTATAAGGGTAGGGAAAATATGGTGTGGGTTGTGAGGACGGGGTGATAAGTGATTAGTTGTTTTGTAAAGTTAACGGTCGGTGGTTCTGTTCATGCCGTTTGGGGTGAGGGTGCTCGCCAGGCCAATGAGATATTGCTCCTTAGCTCGACGAACCCTCTCTCGTTTGTCATTAAGTCTAAGTAGTGGTGTGATGGCAAGGTCGTGGATGGTGTGTGCTGGGCTGCAAAAATGTTCTGCAACTCCAAACTTGTCTTCTTTTTTGTTGATAATGTCTCGTCAGTGTTCGTTAAATCTGTCTTTAAGTCGTCTGCTAGTTTGTCCGATGTATTGGCAGTTTTTGTTTCCGTTATGTAGACATCGTTTGCATTGTAATGAGTATATGACGTTGGTGGAGTTGCAGTCCAGTCGTTGTTTAATGTCTTAGTTTTTGTCAGTGTTAGAAATGTTAAATGTTGTAGTCCCGTCTATGATATGTTGGCATGTTTAACAGTTCCGTCGCGAGTTGCATATGTAAGAACCTATGGGATCACTGGGTGTGGCACTTTTTATTTTGGTACGAACCAGTAAATCCCGGAGGTTTTTCGGTCTGCGGTAACTAAGTATGGGTGCGTCGGGGAAGGCTTCTTTACATGTGTTAGAGTTTTGTAGTATGTCAAGGTTTTGTTTGAGTATGGTGGATAGTTGTGGCAAAACTGGGTGGTAGGTGACAACAAATGGCGTGCGATGATTTGTGCGTGGTTTGGTGGTCCTGAGGCAGTCTTGTCTGGTTTTCTAAGCAGCCTTCTGTATTTGTTTGTTTGTCTGTTTGGGTTTGTAACCCCGTTTTGTCAATTATTCCAGTAGTTGTCTCGTGCGATATTTGAACGTTTCGTCTTCGGAGCAGATCCGTCGTAGTCGTAGGGCAAGACTGTATGGAATGGATTGTTTGGTGTGTTTGGGGTGTGCGGAGGTGCTGAGGAGATATTAGTGTGTATCCGTGGGTTTAACATAGAGACCTGTAGAGAGGGTATTATCATTATTGATGGAAATAGTGACGTCAAGAAAATGTATGGATTTTTTGGATTGTTCTGCGGTGAATTTGATAGTGGGATGGGTGTTGTTGAGTGTTTCGATGAAGTCGGTGAGTTTGTCTTGTCCGTGTGTCCAAATCATTCTGAGAACCTTGCTTAATCTGCTCTATGTAATTAGATATCATTATACAATGTTAAAGTAATACATTCGTTGAAGGTTTATGATAGCGTCAATTGAGGTATTGGCTGGAATTCGTCATTTTCCAGCAATTCAACAAAAAATTCATCTCACATAACAATTCATTCTCACTCTTTGAATGAAATTAAACGATTTTTCAAGATAGCTGCCCGATAGCCCTCTTCTTTACACATTGGAAGATTTTGTCATTGCACACGTGCATTATCATTCCAAGCCCTGACGGGAAGTTCAAGAGTTGTGTGGTCCTATACAGAACAGCTGCGCGAATACTGTTATTAATGCGCATGTGCTTTGGCCCTGCAACACTGATTGGTTTAAGACGGTATTGTTTCGAAACAAAGAAGGGAGAGTTTCGTCTCCCGAACAATTTATTCTTCCATTACATTCATTTTCGGCGTTCTCCAGATAGGCGAATACAAAACTTTTGGGACTGTTCTCTTGTGAAAACGAGCAAGATTTAAAATTGTATCTAAAAAACTCGGAGCCAAAGAGATATCCCCTCGTGTTCGACACTGAAGGATTAGTTCCACTAATAGGTTTTATTTTGACATAACCAAAAGCTAATTTAGTTATCCAAGAAAATCCAAGACACAACCATGTTTATAAAATTCTGACTTAGTGGAACAATACCATTCTGCTGGATTTCAATAAATTGTATTCTTGGTTCAAAACAGCAAGGCTTTTAAAGATTTCAAAAATAAACGATAGAAATTCTAAAAAGCAATTCACCGAAAAGGTTAAATGACACCGCTAGTACCTTGAAAATGGGAAGCATTCAAATGGGTGCTTCAGATTAATAAAAATGTGAATCAAGCATACCATCAACACAGAATAGAGATTAAACACGAAACCAGATTGGTAAAGGAATTAAAATTATGGTTATAAAAAGGGTTTCTCGTTTTTTCTCTTGAGTTGTCATTTCAAGTTTTTAATATACGCGGAATGCAAATCTTAACATAACTTCCACTTTCAAGACCTTCCATAGACTATAAATTTTATATTCTTCATCAAATAGAAATGAAACTGTACAATTTTTCTACATAAATGAAAGGTTGTCAAAAAACGAGAAGAAAAATGCGTGGTGTAGAGTAGAAATGTCTGCTAGATATATTTACAGCAATACATTTATTTTGATTATTTAAGAATTTTTTAAATCTTTTCATTTGATTTTAAGCTGTCATCATTTTTATATTACATTCATAATTGCTCTGATACCTACTAGTTAGCCGAGAGGACCCAGAGAAAGATCCAGTTAGAGTGAACTATCCTGTGGTAGCACAGTGAGCTTCGATGCAAAGAGAAGGCGAGAGAGAGAGAGAGAGAGAGAGAGAGAGAGAGAGAGAGAGAGAGAGAGAGAGAGAGAGAGAGAGAGAGAGAGAGAGAGAGAGAGAGAGAGAGAGAGAGAGAGAGAGAGAGAGAGTAGGTAAAAATCCGCAAGATTTTGTTATTTAAAAGGAATAGATTGGTTTGAGGTATTTTGTTCAAAAATCGACATGCAGGGTGTAATAATGACTGGAATTGCATGCACGATTAAATAATTGATAAAATGCTGGAATGAATTCAGCTATAGGCTTATGTGATTTGCTTAGGCAAAAATAACATGTACCATTAATTGGCTATACCAAGCCAGAGTAATGTTTAAGCAGGTTTTATGTAACGAAACATAACCTGTCGGTTTGTATGATTATTTTAAAACGGGTTTGATGTTTATATGCAAAAATCGTCAAGCCTCGATTCGTAAAGATTAGCAAAACACAGTGAGTCGTGCAGTAAATATATGCAATCTAATGAAAAACTAGATAAATACAAAATCACTTGCTATTCAACAGTAAAAAACCCAAATGTATCTTTTTTCCGAAGGTATAAGAGTGATACATAACGGAATTGCCAGGGTCGTATGGGATGTCTCAAGACTTCTTCTAAATCTCTGCTGCACCTTTTTTCATGTTTTCGGCAACAACACCAAAAAGAGTGAGCCAAGCATTTTTTGAAGATTCGTCAAAGGCTCCACCAATTGCGTTTTCCAGTGTCCAGATCAGCGCTCCACCGACCGCCTAATTCAAAATTTGCATAAATATTCAATATCAGCATCAATAAGGTGATTACAAGGCTATGAATTTTACGGAACAAAATATTTGTGAATTGTGTTAGGCCATATGATACTGTGAAATATCTATTATAAGGGTCACTCATAAGCAAACGCATTTCACACGTCCAAAACTTAAGAAGAAAAACTGCACAGTTTTATGTTATAACAATTTGGTACACTGTGATTAAATTGTTCATTTTCCTTGTCGCTAAAAATACTTCGGAACTGGTAGCCGAAAGGCCTAAATTTCTTCTAAAGGAACGGCCAAAGGGGTGATAAGATGATTATTTACTTTAGATTTTTTAAATGTTTTACATATCTAGAAAGCATTAAAATAATCAAACAAAATAGAAAAGAGTGTCTATCTACCCACAATTGGCTCAAAAACAGCCAGGGGTCGCCAGGTCGCTAATCAATACATTGTACTTTGGTCTGGATTCTTTAAATTATCAAATCAAAAACTAATATTAATCGCTATTATGTTTCGTGGTATAAAGGTTAAAAAGTCTAAATGACTATAAGGTACACGTAGCATTGCTGAGATCATGAGAAAAATGCTCAGACCGCTGCACACGGTGAGTAAATTTTCACCGGTGACAAAAATATCAAATTGGTTTGATACTGCATTGAATACTGCACAGTTGAGACAAATAGCTAAACTATATGTCACGCTTGACATGTCTCGTGTGCACCCTACACATGGGTCTGTCTCAAAAGCTAGTTTTACATGTATTTCTTATTTGGTAAGGTTTATAGTAAAACTCTATTCAGAAAAGTAGCCTATAAACAACGAAAAGAATTCAAGCTGGCACCAATGGCAAGTGATTCCTTACCTGGAAATGCTCTTCTTGCAATTGAAATTTTGCATGGGCTGCCCCAAGGTGCTTCAATATGGGGACAAGGGAGGGGAGGTCGTGCAAGGAGCTAACAGCAAAGCTGATTGTATCCATTACACCCTTCGCATGTCTCGCCAGCCTGTCATCTTCCATGATTGCATCGAGTTCCAAATTGTTTTCAACAGCAAAATAAAACTTGGTTCTGACATCAGGGTGTTCTTTGAACAGCCTGCAAAATTGTGTAACATGATTAATAATGGCAGCACGAAATGAAGAAGTCTGTTCGGTATCAAGTAGTACTTTGGCCAATCAGCATGGCATAATTACTCAGGTCGTATACTTTGGATACAAATATATAGTATTTACTCAGCATTATGTTACCGCTTTTGACCCATTTGTTGGTCGTATAGTACTAGCAGACGTTTAAAACATGATGAATCACTTATCTTGAAAATCTTAAAGAAAAATAGAATGGATTAAGAAGGCTATTTTTCTTACAAATTACTATATATTTCACTCCTAATGGCAGTTTGTGTCTTAAAATTTTTGCCAAAATGTCCATTCAATCATTATCATTCTGACTAGACCTATATGTTATTTAATTCGTTATACTTCTCATCAATGTCTACCCGCAGCTGGCTCTTTGCCACATCTGCCAGTTTCAATATTCAAGATGAGAGAGCTTCTGGTGTAACATCAAGACACTTTTCAACGAAAAAAAGCAATTTAAAATAACTAATCTGCTTGTTACTTTTGTCGTTTCTTGTGTGGTTGTGGATTTTTCGCAAGAAGTATGATTTTTTGCTACGTCAACCCTAGCTAAATAGCCATGGAACTTTGTAGAAACAACGGGTATAAATCAGGGTCTTTTAACGAATAATTGATCGAATAATCAAAGCAATGTTAACTGCTTGTCCACAATCTCAACGGGACCACAATGTTATCTGACTGGATAGACCGTGAGAAAAAAGCTAGTTAAACATTAGGGAACAAACAGACATTTACGCAAACCTGTGTTCATAGCAAATTATAAGAAGCTACGCATGTAAGTGACGCTTGGAAGGCAAACGCCTCGGACCAAGAGAAACGTTTTGACTGGGATGCATACATCAAATATTATATGATTTCTTATTGATTGTTGTTTTGGAAGTTTCCTGGTTGCTGAGCATTGTCTGGTGGAATTCTACTATATGAATGATATCAGGATTTTTTATTTTTTCAACAAGTTCCGGATTTATTGGGATTTGGAATCAGTAAGGAAACTCAAAAAAGTATCACATCAGACTGATTCTGAAGTGAGCGAGTTGCCAACAAACCAAATCAGGCAATAGAAAATGGTCTTTGAAAACCAAATGGCAAAGAAGGCCTCTTTGACTGCAACAGCTAATGAAGTTATTCTAATTTTTATAAGACGCTTATCTCGGGATAAACAAATAGTTGCTTGATTTTTCTGTTGATCCTAGTACTCAAAGTTTCTTAAAATTTCATAATAGCCAAATGATGAAGAACTACTTTTTGGAAGTACAAAAACATGATATAAAATAACATGAATAAGAACACTCGACAAGTCACAAAGAGTTCAATCAATCATCTATAAAAGAAATTGGTGTCCAATCGTCTTACAAATTCGGTGTACAACCAAACTTTAGAAAAATGATTTTCGACCATTTTATCGATTGACAGGTTCTTTTAAAAAGATATGAGCGTATATCACGTGAAGTGTTCAACAGCAGCAATATCTACTTTTGGAGTGCTATTAAGACCTAACTGCATTTTCCATGTGTGGCCAGATCATTGCGGCTGTGACGCAATGGATAATCCGTTAAACTACCACGCAAGCGACTCAGGTTCGATTCCCTGTGAGGTCATACCACTTTCGAGGTCGGTAAATGAGTACCAGTGAAAACGCTGGGGCTAACAACTGGTCACCGACGACGATGAGGGTCGCGCCCATGGCTGTATGACGTGAATAGTGACTGTACGCTGAAACACCTACAGTCGGGTTGGTAGGTGATGCAACGTACCTGGTGCGGTACCCGTTGTACCAGATCTCAACAATTTAATGTCTCCTTGTTTTAATTTGATCCTTTTGCATTCTATGTTCAGTTGGATCAAGGAGCATGCAACGATAATCTCAAGTTGAATTGAACATAATTTTATAAAAAATAGGCCAATAATACCAAAACCTCTTCTTTGATAGGTTTAGAACTGTATTACATGAGCTTCTACTTAACGAGAATAACCACGTATATTTATCATTTTATTCCCTTTATTTTCAAAATTGATAAATTAAATTGTAAGATTATTTTTTCTAGTTTTAAATTAAATCAAAATTGTATGGGCATTAATCCATCGATGACGCAGATTACATGAAGGTTAGAAAAAATGATAGACTTATTTCAACTGAAAAATCTGCCCTCTAACAAAAAACACTAACAGCGATGGACTTTGTCTTGAAAATCTTTTTCTTATCCTTTTAACCACCAATGCGGAAATGAGATTAAAATGAACAAGACTTTGCACTACTGTTTCTGCTTGCTCTCTTTTGATGAAATTTAAAATTAAGATGATTTCATAAATTTAGATTTTAGACAACCTGGGAAATCACACAAATCTGAACACCTCAAATGACCTCCAAAGTTTATCAAGTTACAAGAAGCCTTTTTAGCACTCGGATAGCTTCTTAAACCTGAAAATCTTTTCCCAAAAGTGTTCATTTTACGATCTTTATTTCAGTGACAATGGGACATTAAAAGGCAACATGGAAAATGATTGTAATACAGAGGTGGAAATTATGGGGGCATGGGGGCTCTGCCCTCTCTCTAATAATCATTTTCATTGGAAAATTCGTGCTATTGACAAATGTTTAACGTGCCGAAAACCCATCCAAGGTGATATTTGGTCGAAATATCGTGGGCTTGAGCCCCGCAAATGAAAATCAGAATTTCCGCTACGGTTGCAATATATATAGGGGGCCTGGTACTGACTGGGTTGAAATAGAAAATGTTACAATTAACCGTAACGAGGGGAAATGAATAAGAATCTTCTCATGCTTGCCAATGAATTCTAGCTATATTTTGATCAAATTTGTATTTTAAAGAATGCTGTTATTCTTGGTTCAGAAAACGAAGTATTGAATTTTCAGTCGTTGACAAAGATCATATTTCCTTTCCGACTATTTTCTTACAGATTGTTTATCTTAATAACTATGGTTGAAGGTAATATTTTTGTTTACAGAATGTCTTTTATAAAAAGCGGAAACGAACCGATCCCAAAAGAACTAGTCATGAGGTCAAGAACGTTGGCAGGTTTCGTGACCTAACAGTCATAAACCACTAACCGATAGCCTAAGAGGCTTGCAAAAGCTTCTGTGGCCTATTTTATATTGCATGTGTTTTAAGCCATATTTAGGTATATTGTAGACAAATTGTGAAATACTGCACTTTGCCTAACTGAACATTAAACTTTTGTTTTGGGGGTAAAGATACACGTCTCATATTCAACTGTTAGAAATATAGAATCTGGTAAATCAGTTTAGGTGTTCGCCAGAAGATTTTCTCTCTGGCAATCATCACACTTCCTTGTGGCAACCTATACAGCCACAATAAATTCAAAAAAATTCATTTTACACACGCAATCTACCAAAAAAGAAGAGCTTTCATGTGCTATTTACATTAGCGAAACAAAGTTTCAAACACAAATGTTACGAATCAGAGAGGTGTTCAAACAGCAGAATTGCTCTATTGCGTTTAAAAATTACCTTCTAAATAGCAGCAGACCATTCCCTTGAAGGTCTTGCTCCACAACCTGCCAGTTGTTTTGAATGATTTCAACTTCTTTGTTCCCAAGGCTTGAATCTCGTGGGACGCCATTTTTGCCCCCAATGCTCTCTGGTTGTATAACATTGCTGGAGCAGCATCCCATCTTGTTTACAGTTTCATCTGCGACCTTAACGACATCGAAATCATTACTGACGCTCGCGCACTAATCTTTGATAATCTCTAAGTTAAAAGCAACGAGGGTATTACTACGTGCTGCTTTGTCGACTTAAGTGGAAATTCATGAGTCAAATGTTTTGATATGCTTTGCTTCGAAATAATATTACTGTGTTAAGCGAACTTGTATCCATCAAATATAGGTCAAATGTTTATGACTGCACAAATAAGGATCGAGATGGATCATTTTTATTGGGAAGAAGGTATAGGCAAGCAGGCACCTCGCACCAGTCTGAAAATGGGTGGGTTGAAAGTGGGTGGGTTGAAAAGAGCGCGACCGAAAATTGTTAGAAGCCACGCCCTTTGGTGCGCCGGAAAGCGCCCTTTTTAGTAAATACTTGCGTCTTTCCACCTCAAGCAGTCCGATTCAGAGAATATATTTCATTTACTACAGAAATAGATGTAACAAGATAAGACACCACAGAGTAACCAAAAAGGAATCCCAGTCAATGGAACTGGACCAGTGGCGTCGTCACGGGTTCGCCACTAGTTGTAAATTTTTCTTAGAATGATCCCTGTTTTTCGCTGACACTAATAAGAGTATAAAATAGTTCAATGATCGACAATGCTTACAAAATGTATATTAAACAGCTGTGGATCGGAATAGGCCAATCCGAAACGCGAGAACATAACAGGTAGGTTACCCAATCAGTGTCGCCTGCCTTTAGAAAATGTTACTACTGAGATCTACTGGTGAAAAGAACTCCTTCTATCTAAATCGTTGCGATTATCTAATTCTAACATACATCGATTTGAAGCTCAAGGATGGAACGATTTTGAGAAAGCAAAAGCAAGCTTTTATTCATGAATACACCTACTGTTTTGCCAACGATCATTTTCGTTCTTCTCATGACACCGTCTCTCCAAATCTTTTTTGCATTTGATTTGAGTTCACAATGGGTTATTACAGGGGCAGCGCCAGCCCCAAAATAATGGGGTGGACAATGAAGGGGAGGAACTGATAAAGAGGTACAATTTTATTATCCTGCTTATAAAATGTTTGGATACAAATTTTAAAATTGATTATTGCTAAAAACCTTTAACAAAGAAGGAAAGCAATAACAACACTCTAAGAACCATAAGATCTCCCTAAGATCCGAACCATAGAAGAACCACAACTCTAAGATCTGTAGAAAAACCGCAAATGACCATCAATATGGAGAAAAAGATTCGATCCCAAAGAAGAACACTTACATCCTCCTTATGCTTTCAGTCTAGTTTTGGAAAAGTTAGAAAATCGAGCTTGAAAATGATCACCCCTACCCCGTGGCGCCGCCCCTGGGTTATTATACAGTGGCCAAAAAGAGACACGAATTGTTCCTTCCACACAATAGCCTGTGCGGGCTACCACACAATAGATTGTCGCTAAAATAACTTCATCGGCTACAACTGTCCATGTGTATGGTGGCGGAATCTTGCCACGCTGTTTTCTTTCACGATACAGTTAAATCCTGTTAAGTTAGGCCTTCAAAAAGGGGGGAGGCAATAACCTGACTTAATTTAAACATATAATTTTGATTTAGATAAAAATTTTGTGGCAAAATTTGAATGTGTAGCTATTTTTCGGCAAAACAATTTATGCTGTTTAAGGGCAGAAATTTTCACCTCAAGTCTCTCTCGTTGAAAATGTTCTCCCCAACAGAGTTCGTAAATTGCCAACAAACTTCATTGTTAAACCTGTTTTACTTAAAAGTCATGGAATAATTCTCTGAAACGGCTTGTCAACCTCAACCAAGTGTTTGATTTTCCCAACACAAAAGAGGAACATAAATCCTAGAGGCACAGGACATCTCTATTATCTTTGAAGCCGTTTCGCCATAGTCAACGCCTATCCTTTCTATTGCTAGTTTACAATTGAAATAAGGCTAGATTAAATTTTGTTAAAACCTTGTTTAAACAGATTTAATCCACAAATGAAAACACTCGACAACCAATGATCTTACAGGTATTCCTGGCTTGCCCGTCACCCACCAATCAGTGGCGGATTTAAGGGGGCAACTGAGTTGTCTGGCACCCCTTTTTGGAAATTGTGCGCCCCTTTTCAACGATGAGAGTCAGGTGAAAAAGTTTCTGAGACTATAGGTTAATTAACATGTGTCATGTTGGAAATGTCACGCTTTGGAAGACAGCAAAGGCTATCCATAAAGTTATGTTCTTTAATTTTTGCCTTCATTCAAACAGTGTTCAATTTCTTGCCCTTAAAAGTTGCCCAATCATCATGTCATAATCAAACCAAAAAGAACTATGGAGCATAATTAACATAGAATATTTGTCTGTTGTGCCTAGGGCTCTCGTTATAAAATACTGAAAATTTTTCAGCGCCCCCAATACCAACTGCCCCTCCGTCAAATTTTCTCTGGATCCGACTTTTGCCTTAGCAATCTAGGTATGCCCTCACAGTAGTACGAATGCTTTACGGGTTTAATAAAATAGACTCTGGGAAAGTCTACGAACTTTTAAGTTCTTGATTTTGCCATGACGGGGAAGAATTGTTCTAAGTTTCTAAAAAGTTTCCTGTGTCTCTGTTGTTGAATCAATTGTTTTTTAAAAAGCTGGCGACTCCACCTCTGTGAGCAGAATTTTTATTTACACTCATTTTTTTATGAGAAACATAGGTCGATGTTGAGTACTCCAGTTTCTTAATTCTCTGGAAATTTCAATACTCATTGTTTTTAAAGAGTTTCTTAATTATGATGTCATAAATGATGTTATGAAATGTTCGTGACCTCTTTTGTCATGTCAAGAGATTCGCTTCCGTTCCGATGCTGTTTTTAGATGCGGTCTTAAGTTCTAGGCCAACAGGGCAATCTTGTTCTTGGATTTCACAAAATTTCGTTGTTCTCAGTTTTATCACGATTTAATAGTTTCATAATTTTTTGCTTTGAGTACTGAAGTTTCTTAATTTTCTGACTGTCCAGTACTCGTTTCTTATTGCCAGTTTTTTATAAAAAAATGAGTGTATTCGAGATGAATGCAGGAACATTAACCGCCGAATGTATGAACAATTCATTACAAATTGGACTTAGAGGTAACCAAGCACTTCATGCTCATTGACCTTGGAGCTTTTCTAAAGGGGCTTCGAAATTTCAGAAAGCTGCTTATATTGTTTGCTGTAATCAGGGGCGCAAATGAGGGGGGCGGTGTGGGGGGGGGGGTGTCACACCCCCGAAATAATTTCACTACCCGGTCCCAGTTGAAAGTTGATAGCAAAAAAGTCGGTCCCGATCTAGCCATCTGCTTAGTATTTCTATCTATCACACCCAAAGCTGGTCCCAATTCTGCTGGTACCATGCTGTATTGCAGTAAAGTAAGGCATATAGTGGGCGCATTTTCTAGGAAGGGCTAATCACCAAAAATAACAGGGGACAGAATCGGTCCAGTCCGGTCCCAACCAGCGCTGCTTTGGAAGAAAAACTCTAGCTGCCACCGACAACAATAACTTTTTCGCCATATGTACATGCTTTATCTTGTTTCCGTGCTATGCGCGGCGTTAGATGCGCAAATTTCAAGGGGAATGCGAGAACAGCAGTCACATAGTAAAATCCGCTCGGTGGAAGAAACGCTTTACGTATTTCAGAGGCCTTCATGTCATAATATCAATAAAGGATCAAGCAAAGGTAATTGCTCCGTTGGTTAAATTAAATATGATATTCTTGTTGGCATTAAATCTAAAAATCCAGGCCCTCTTTAGGTAAAATTGTGCTTTATTTCCATTTCCCCTAAAGTTTCTCGAACTGCAATTCACAATGAAATCCAGATTTTTTGAACATTCAAAAGGCATGCTAAGATGGAAAGAGTGATCTAAATTGCCAACCAGCGTTGCTTGTTAAGTAACTGACAACATGGTATTTTTCAAGACCATAGCGAAATTATACCAGTTGTTTCTAACTGCTGTTCAATTTTTTTGCAAAAAAAGAATTTTCAATAGGTTTAGGAGGACTGCTTTAGTTAAATTTGCTTAAAAAGTGCATTTTCCAGGGAACTGGAAGCATCAAAATTCGAAAATTTCCTCCTCCTTCCGCGGCAACCATGGTGCCGCCTTGGGTAGTAACTATATCCTTTACCCGTTCCGATATAGAGATTTGACAAGACTATTAGGAAAGTCCGTTATTATCATATAAAAATATATATGGCGAATTATATACAGAGTTAGATTCACAAAATATATCGTAGAGGTTCGTGACAGCAACTATATAATTTCAGGCACTCATATTTCAATCAGGTAAATTTGTTATCCACCCCCTTCCCCTCCTCAACAAGGCCTGCCTTGCGACGGCCCTGGAGAGCGGCCCCGACAATATCTATACCTCAAAAATCGGTCTGTCGTGGCGAAAACTCGGTCCCTTCAAAGAACACCCCCCTAAAAAAAATTTGCATTTGCGCCCCTGGCTGTAATGTAAAAGGCTTCTCATAAAACAAAATGATTGTGTTGTTTCAAGGCTTGTTGCACACTTTTCTGCATCATTTGGCTTGTTTCAAGGGTCCGAAAATCAAGGCACCACATCTGATACGTAGCACAGATATATATGACCTGAGGAATTATAATCTTCATTCTTAGTAGATTCTCTTTCTTTACTTGCTGCAAGTAAGCCTGGGTGTCCTTCAAATATTAGGCTGTAAGCAGTGCGATTAATAGCTCAAGGTCTGATTTGCCAACAAAGCTTAAGGTCTGAATGACATATCTTTTACAGTGGCGGATCCAGCCAAAAATCTGACTACCGCCGAAATGAGATAGAGGGTCGACCACACCCTTTAGACCACACCCATTTCCTGGTCACACCCTGTTTTCTAAAATGATTATTGTTTTCTATACTTCCTTATGCAGACCACTTTCAAGACACAAGCGGTGCTTTAGTGAAATTTCAAGTTTCCTTACAACAACCTTGAGAAGCAACAAATAATCTTATTTAATATTCTGAGTATGTGTAACGATAAGGGTTCTTGTTATGACGGTGAAGAGCCAGGTCGTTGGTTGAGCGATAGGCTCAAAGGCCTAAGCTCTGAATAAGCAGCACACAAAATATACTCGTTCTTTGATGTTTTCTCTAACGATTCAACAGAAAGACTAACTCATACATAACGTGATCAACACACAAGCATCACAATACATGTTGAAAGACAAACACATTGCCATAAAAAGGCGTTCACTAACACAACAGGACTTAACAGAACATGTAACTTTAACACGCAACGAGAACATTACTAAATTGAATAAATATAAAATCCAAACCGTTACAAATGGATATTCTAAAAAAATTACGGCATTTAGCCATAGAATAAGAAAAAAAGATACATTTGGCAGAATATGGAAATGTCGCCTAACACTCACATTAAGTCGCACAATCACTTATGAAAATCAGACCTGTTGGAAATTATAAATTTAAAAAGCCAGATAAAATTTGCAATTATAGGGAGCAACTTTTGTTAAACAAAGAATCATCACTTTGGCGCACTTTGTGAGCCTGACTTTTAATCCTGATGCCTTCTTAAATTTTAGAATATTTGGGTCTAAAATATTCTTATAAAATATATTCCTACCAATATTTGTGTATTTTACAAAATACACATCATCTTTAAAGTTACAGTTTGCCCACTTGCAGAATATATAGGCATCCCCCCATCTTTTTGTAACGTTTGAGCCGTGTTGAGCGGCAGTGCTACTCATCTGTGCGGTAGTCAACTCGGTTGTTCATTGGTTGTCAACAAAATTTGTATGCATCCCCCAAGATTGGCTGTAATTTCTAATGATTTGATTGGTCTAAGCAGCCTGACTACCGCTCAGTTCAGCTCGAATTCGCTCTACACCGACTCAACCCCCTAGCTAGCAAGCCATGACTTCATCATCGTTCTAGCCTTTTTTTGCAAGCATTTGACTCAGCCAATTGGCACGCAATTTCCATAGCGGTAAGGACTAAAAAGAATTTCTATCCAAATTGAAGTCATCAATTTTGTATCTCGCTATCTACGAATCTTTTTCGAAATGGACTTCAGAATTGAAATCTTCATCTTTAAATTAATTTATACTGAAAAATTCATGTTGTTTGGAACGTTCGGTCGCATGTTACTTTGTTTCGAATATTTAGATATTTCTTTAGAGTTGACCGGAATTTGCTGCTGCTGTGAAAAAATTTCACTACAGCAACAAATTCCATTGAAATGTATAGGAAAAGCTAAATTTTGAAAATGGGGTAATTCGCAGGCTGACGGCCCAAACAATTTGAAATTTTTGGCACAGACTAATTTCAACATGAAGGTTCCAATTCTGTTATCCATTTTTGCCAAATGTGAAGATACAAATTGCTCGAATCCGAGAATTCTATTTTCTGTTCCAACGGTTGGTCGATTTGTTTTGTTTCACCAATGTCTATTTTGGTCCTCGACTAGGAACATTTCACAAATCGATTGAGTTGCTTGCTACCTCAAGCTTATGGTCTCTTATGGCCACCTACGGTATCTGTTTTTGAATATCACATGCAAAAGGAGGTATCCACCTAACTTCGTATGAAATCAAGGAGCTTTAGCTAAAATTTAAGCATTTCACGGCCAATTTGTTTTTCGTTTCTAAAGGCATGACGAACAAAAAAAATTTCTGAAATCAACTCTTCAATCAATGGTTGCAAATCAAATACCTCTTTATTCGTCGACATGATGTTTTCCTAACAGATTTTCCGACTCCACAGCAACTTTCTTGCCGATTAATCAGCGACTCTAGAGCGCGACAACGAGCGACGTTCGAGACAGCGATAATATGCGCCTGGACAGGATGCGACCACTGATTGACAAACGCAGTTTTGCTTAGTTACTGGACTAGATAGCAACAATCGGCGTCACCATTGTTTATTATGAAAACTTATAACTTTGTAGGCTTTACAGTGCACACCGCGTCAACGAAGGTTCCAACTCTCCCGATTGGGGCGGGAGACCGATTTGTTAATTATTTTCATGCTCTCCCGATTTAAAACCAAAATTCCCGCTTACAGGAACTTTTTAATGAATCTGTTATAAATTCACATTTTGAAAAATGTTGAACAAAAATATAATATCTACATAAGTGTATGTGAAACTTGTCACCATATCAATCTTTCTGACACATAGCAGGTGAAATGCACAGTGTTCGTGGTTGTTTTTTATTTGTTTTACAGTCTGCCTATTGCGGCTGCGCTTTTTAAAGCGCAATCTTGTAAAAAAAAGGCTGCGGTCAACAATAGGCCAAGAAAGGTTAAATGAATAATGAGCTTGATTTATTTGACACTCAGTTATGATGAAATAATCAGCAAGTTGCTGACACACCATTGCTAAGGACAGGTTTTTGTAACGTGCACCATTGCTTTTTGTAACGTGCAGTTCTACACAAATGTGCAGTTGTAAAAGTTTTTTTTGCAGCTCTAAAGAAAAATCTGTGCAGTTCCGAAATTTTACTTAAATGTGCAAAAAATCGAGGAAAACTTTGGCAGTGAAAAACAAACAAAAGTTTAAATGATGAAACATAAGAAGATAATAAAGATGATGCTCAAATTAAACAAAGACTATGAAAACTAAAAAAGACTAAAAAAGACTATAATAAAGTTTGCAAAACATTATATATAACATTGCTATTAAATATCGCTCCACAAACACAATTTTGTTTTTCAAGATTCCATTTAGTTGACTTTGGTTTCTTGTGATTCTATATAACCAAGAACTCACAATGGTTGTCACATGCTCGAAAATTTGGTTTTTCATTATAATGTACTTTATAATTTTGCTTCCAAGTTGAGTTAGAACTTGCAAATTGATATTACATTATAAAATTATTTCGAAAGATTTTCTTTAGAATGGAGTGTTTTATATAGGCCTAAACTGTTGTAACGATGAGCAGGCAAGTCCCTCCCGTTCTTTAGAAATTACCGATCAAATAGAAATTAAAATGCTGAAGCGCTTCAATCTTTAAAAACCGGATTCTCAGATGCTTGTCAGGATTTTTGCTGATTTTCTCTCCAAGGATTACGGATTTTTTTATAACCTATGCATACTGCTTATACTATTTTTAGATATTTGCTTATAACTTTGGAAAATCAGTTTTTCCACGTAGTGCTTTCTCGCCTTACAAAATTCAGACTAAAAAAAGTTAGAGGAATTGTGAAGGAAGCAGACAGTTATAGAATGAGGGTCAGCCACAAAAAGCTACATATGACAGTTAACCATTGCCACGTAAAAAAGCCATAGCTTTTCCAAACGCATTTGCAAAATGGGGCGTTTTCTTAAATTCTTAAGGTTGTGGTCAGCAAATATTTTCCCGGGGGTAAAGCCCCAGATCCTCTGCTGTCGGCCTCCTCTTTGCCCCTCCAATCTTCTAACCCTGGCTACGCCACTGGTCTGGAGCACAAGCTACCTGTGCCTGCGCATCATGTACATTTTGTTTATACTTATAAGAACCAATAATTGTTCCTTCAACACAGTGCTCCCGACAAAAATGTGCAGCTCTAGATTTTCCTGAAAAAAACCTGGCTAAGGAGACTCTCATGCACTGAAAATTGTTCTGTTTGTTTATTTAGATTATTATATTAATTATCAGTCCTATTGCAAGTTTTTCTGTTCATCACAAATACTGATTACTGATCATTATGATTTTCAATGCTTGAATACGGATACTGGCTTTTCTCTGACCAATTTATTGAAATCAGTAGAAGGGTAAAAGTAATGTTGAAAAGATACACTGTACATATTGTTTGCAATGTCTTAGTGCATTTAAAAAAACTTGTTTGATATGTCTTAGTGCATTTAAAAAACTTGTTTGCCATGTCTTAGTGCATTTAAAAAAACTTGTTTGATATGTCTTAGTGCATTTAAAAAAATTTGTTTGATATGTCTTAGTGCATTTAAAAAAATTTGTTTGCCATGTCTTCGTGCATTTAAAAAACTTGTTTGTCATGTCTTTGTGCATTTAAAAAACTGCGCATGCGTTTGATGATGTCATAATTTTAATTAAAACTCGTTGTCGGAAAATTTGCAAGCTGTGCCTTCAAGAATTACTACCCATGACGCCCTGGTTATTTTCTTTCGTCTAGTATCGAAACATTTCCTTGTTTAGTTTCGAAACTCTTCGGCATGATGCATCAAATTTCTGCTAATTTGGCATGGTGCATCAAATTTAGAACAGAGACAAACTTATAATGATTTGACGGGGACTGAGTCTGTGCTCAAGTTGCCATATATCAGAAAGTTTACAACACATTTAACTGATTTCACACATTTAGAGTTATGTTATCAAGATAAAAAATTTGTAAAAAAACTTTTTGTACCGGAAAAACATTGAATTTGCCAAGCCAGTTTTCTAGCCAAAGTCTGACAATGCCCAATTTTCTAATTTTAAAGTCAGAAAGTTCATCCCATTTTCGTAATCCTTCTTAAATCTTTCTAGTTTGTAAATATTTCCTTTTTCCTTCCAATCGGCAATAATTCCCAAAGAACGAAAAATCCTTCCAAAAAGAAGCACTGTTGAGGCTAGTTTCAACGATTACTGCTTAGAGGTCTAGGACCTGGTACCCCAGACTATAAATAGAACGAGGGGATGCTTTTCAGCGTCTAATTCACATTCTATTTTTTCAGCGTGTCAAAGTGCCTATCTCTACTAGATTACATGCTGGTATCACAATCTTACTGCTCAGAGATCTGGGACCTTGTACCCCAGTCTATATCTAGCATGAGGGAATATTTCCAGCTTCTATTTCCATCTCATCTTTCTCAACGTATCAAGCTGCCTATCTCTACCAGGTTTCATGTTGGTAAGTCGATCATAAGGTTAAATTATAACAATTACCGCCTAGAGGTCTGAGACCGGGTACCTCAGCTTCTATTAACATCCTATTGTTTTTGACATACTAAATTTTGCAGAATTAGTGATTTTTTATGTTCCAGCAGCTCTCATTACTTATGTTCCAATTCACCCCAAACGTTTTTCGCATGAACTACCCGCAAAACCCCCGGATATCCCTACTCGTGCACCTTAAACGGAAAAACAAAACTTGTTTTGGAAACCAGTGATATTTAGTCTGCCAGAATCAACAATGAAAAAGAATTTCGGTTAATTCTTTTTTGTGATTGCAGCATGCATGTAATTCCTGATTGGTTAAGCTTCACGACATAACCTCCAAGGAAATCTTAGTTGAGTGGCTACGGATTTTAATTTTTTTCAATTTTTTAATTTTAATCAAAGCTGCTTTGTTAGCTTGATTAACTTTAAATAAACTCTCTATTCACTGGAATGTATATCTTCTCTTGCTTAAAAGCCCATCCTTTCGAGGTATGATTCTTCGGCTAAATTTGGCCTTTTTTTATCTTTTGAACTTCTCGTTCTCAGACAGACCCTTAATTTTGTGTTTTCCCCTTATGATTAAGCGGCAGAGCGGTCTACGCTAATTGTGTTAAAGTGACAAAATTGTGTTAAGTAGATATAATAAAGGAAATTTCCTAGGATCCGTGGCCAAAATGCCGGGACTTTGCTTTGACACTTGTTTCAACATCAGAACATATAAAGCATCAAAATAAAATTGGAGGTCCTTCTTGCGAATGCCAGGAACACCTCCGCAGAGGCACAAAGAGATGGCTGTTGCTCAAAACGCGTCAAGTGCTCGTTTTGAAGCTATTTTAGCAAATAGAAGGGCAAATCATATCACTCACGGTATACGTGATGTCACGCACGGACTCAATTTTGTTAATAAAGAATAAAAAATCCTGCGAAAAATGACATTTTAGCGATTATTTTGTTTCAAGCTCCTCCGCAGTGACAAATGCTCAACTTCTTTAATTTGGCTCGACAAAATGCTCAATCCAGACTGGTTAAGATATCAAGCATGCAACCTGGCAAAGAGGAAAGTAAACTTAGGGTCTAGAACAAAAAAAGCAAGTCCTGGGGGGGGAGGGGGTTAAATGTTTGGCCCCCACGGTGTAAGCGAGTGTGAAGGTAAGCAGCTAGATCATTATCACTTTGCACATAATTTCTTTTTTGAGACGCGCAAAACATGTATTGATTAAGAAACGTTCATGTTATCAAACAGGAAAAAGAGCACAAGTGATCCAAAATAACGCACTCACATCACATCAAAACTTTTAAATCTATTTTTGGAAGGTTGCGAAATAGGCATGGTAACTTCAAAATTAGAGATTAATCTGCCACAGACATGACACAAACTATCCCTTTTGTAATTTTTTCGAAGAACATCAGAAACAAAAAGTTAGTTTGGTCATGGTTCTTTATTACTCATTGACCATTTGGGCGATATCATAAAGAGGAACGGCGATGGAAGTAGAATTAAAAAATGAAGCTACCAGCCCTGTACAGAAAAAACAGAACAGCAAGCATAATTGGTAAAATGAAATGGAAAGAACAGAGAAAAAGCTGAATAAATTGGAACAATAGGGTTGGATATTTAGTTGATAGATTTGATTTTCTATTGATTATTCAGAAAGAGCATATAACACAAACTTGCAGCATATTTTCAATTTATCACGTCAACAATATGAAGTTTTGATATTAGATAAATGCTATACAATATACTAATTTCCTGTATCAAGTCAAAACTGCTCTTTTTTCGCAAAGCACTGAGACACCCTTTTAATTTCAATCTAGACTTTAGTCCAACTGGCTTTTTGTTTAGTACCTTTCTTCTTCCTTATTCGGCTGTGGTATGAAATGCGAAACAAAACCTAGTGGCATGATATTAGCTTACCTCCTCATTTCGAAAACATTTTCAAATTCTTTTGTACAAAATATTTGACTTCAGATTCGGTTTGAGAGCAAGGATTTTAT